ATCTTTTTTTCCCCCCTTTCCCTTGCACTATAGACAGCCGTTTGTACTCTAGGAAGTTTAACACTTTCATAAAGCGACACATGGATGTTCTGTTTTGTGTTTTAATGATATTTATGTAGGAGTATTTACCTAAGGTTCCGATGTGTTTGTTTTTATACTTGTATGACTGGAGATCTGTGTCTGTAAAATGGTCACATGGTCTCTCACAAAATCCAGCATGGGGAGAAGTCTGTGTCTAGCAAGCACAGATTTATACAGTATGTGTGTGTTTGTCCGGGTGTATGTATGTACAGTAACACACTGACATGGAAAACGAGTTTTAACATAGTTTTCCTTCCTTATTCCAGTCTGCAATGCATCAGTGCCACAGTATAAGCAAACATTTTACCATACTTTATATTTAAGTATATATACTTACAGGCTGTATTTAGGCCATATGGTTATATGTACAGCATATAGGCCCTCAGTGAATTATGGAAAACAGGAAACAAGACGAGGTAAGTAACAACTTTGCTTAAAAGAGCTGTTTTACTAGTCAGGACTGGATAACTTAACATACAGAGTTTAGCAACTAAGCCAAAACATGTCATTTGAGTATTTTGTCTCTATTTGAATAAATACAAAATTCACCAGCTGCTATCAGTTAAGTTGGCCTGTGGCTTTCTAAACATAAACTAATTTTCATATTCTCACAGATATAAATATTGTGTCTGATATACAAGATGTTACTAGTTAACATATAAACATTCCAATACTGTGTGTTGTAAACATTTTTATAATTAAATTTTTATAATATGCATAATATCTTTTTTGCTGAGCAGATGGCTCTTTGTCATCTTTTCTGAGGAGTCACAATGAAAGGATAATTCACGAGACAGCTATTTAAAAAACATCGAGGAACCTTTCTTCATAGCTTTAAAATTGTGTTTATATTACTGAGTTTACCTTAAGGGTACAGGTTCTGTAGATTAACAAGCTGAGCTGGGTCCTTGACACACATGGTATTGTGTTCAGTCCTCATTAAGGTTGCTCCCCCTCTGCTGGGCAGTCACAGTACTACTGCCCTGCTCCTCTCTCATGAGAACCATTCTACTAATTGCTACGCTAAAACTAATCCTGTCTCCAGCGTACGAGAGCCAGTATCAGCTCATTTTCTCAGCACTAGTGAATTTGTAGCCAATTATGTTCTAAGTAGTTAAGCATTTCTGATGCTTTTTTAACTCAAGCGCTCAATTAAAAACAGTTAATTTTAGTGCCTGTAATACATTTACAACATGTCTAATCCGTAAAATTTACTTACAAGAATAATTGCATCATTTCATTCTTATGAGTTAAGCAACTTTTCAGTTCAAAGACCTGACTAGACGTTTGCTCAATGTGCACTGCACTCATTTTATGACAGCAAGGCCTATTAAGTGATCAAGTTTTATGTTATGGGAGATCCTATGTCAAATATGAAGCAAGGAACAACCAGTGATCATTCATTCTGTCCCTGCAGTACCTTTCCAATAATAGAGCAGGAGATTGGGTTTGTTCTTGTCATTAGTAGCCTTCCCTCTAAGTCTGCTGTAGACTGCAGAGAAGTATGAAACCTCATGCATCCTCTATGGCTCGACCTCTGCCAACTCTGCTCTCTCTTACACTGCGCTCTATGAAGCGCTGGCGGTGGCCCGAGTCTACCTGTCACCAGTCCAGCATTGCAGACATACACCCTTATGTATCTCAGCACTTATACTCAATGTGAACATTTACTCCGGCTGGCATCCAAGCCAAACACACACTTGTGCACAAAATATTCACAACAAAATAGTAAGAAAAGGACCTGAGGTCAACAGGGTATCATTGACAGCGCTGTTAACCCCGTCCCTGCTCCCACATGCTGAGTGCTGTGATTTATAGGCCTGGAGTGGCTCAGCTCAGGCAGGGCAGTCTGTGTCTGCAGGACCCAGTCTGCTGCTCCAGAGGAACCAGACTAGAATAAGACCTCCATTCAGTAGTGCGAAGGCATCAGCTATTTAGTAGCTCAGGCCGAGACACCTGCAGTAAAGGAAGAGACAAAATGCGTAAAGCATCTTTAAGTGTCTGATATCGAGTTTACCTCATGAATGGAATTTGATCCCTCATACTGCTTAATCTCTCTAAAATCCATTTTTGTTATGTAATTTCATCAGACAAGGGGATAAAGTATTTATACAACTGCCTTTAATCATTATTAGATGAGCTGCCATGAAACTGCTGATTAGTGAGTATTATCTATCTAAATAGCATGTTGCAAATTCCAGTGTGATCCTTCTATAAATTCTTTTAATAGGATGTGTTATTGTAGAGGTGACTGCAGTTGCATAGGTTTTGCAATTTAGAGATATGTTTGCCATATACCATGTCATTAGATATTCACTAAGCCTTAAAAGGTTTATTTCTTTTTATCTTTTTTGCATTATGATTTATATGTATTTTCTATCCACGCTAGCTTTGTGTCTGACTTTGGTCCAGACTTACATACGGTATCTCAATAACTATTGGATAGATGAAATTTTGCACAGACATTCATAGTCCCAAGAGCAGGAATCTGGCTGACTTTGGTGATCCCTTGACTTTTCTTCTAGCGCCACTATTAGGTTGGCATGTTTGGTTCAGAGTGAAATATCTTCACAACTATTAGATGGATTGCTGCAAAAATTGCTACAGTTATCCAAGACTGACTATGGATTCCCTGACCATTCCTCTAACACCATTAACAGTTCAATGTTTTGATCCACCAGATGGACTAATTGGCACAAAACTTTGTTCAGTCATTCATGGTTTCCAGACGATAAATCCTAATCACTGTGATGATGCCCTGACTTTTCCTCTAGCACCACCATGAGGTCGGCCTTTTTGGTTCATAGTGAAAGGTCTTGACACTTATTGGATAGATTACTATCAAATTTGGTACACATTTAGACATTATGGTTCCCCACAGGATGAATCCTACTGACTTTGGTGATCCCCTGATTTTTTACCTATGTCTATCAACAGACCAATGTTAATGTCCAAATTAGCAAATGTTAGTATGCTAACTTGCTAAACCAAGTAAACCTAGTAAATATTACCAGCCTGTTAGCATTGTCACTGTAAACATGGTAGCATGCTGGTGACAACATTTATCTCAAGTACAGCCTTACAGAGCGGCTAGCATGGCTGTAGACTTCTAAGGCCGTTAACGTGCAGCAATTGTCCTAAAACCGCCTACTTGCAAGAGCGTTCCCCTAAAAAAGCAAAGCAATTTTAAAAGCAGCTGCTGCCTCTTTGGTCCCAAGCTGCGGTGATAGGCAGGTGCGCGTACAATGGAAATTGGACAGATATTACCTAAGATTTCTACATATCTGGATAATTTACCTGTTATCTGAAGTCTGGTTGAAATGTTTTCCCAGGCCCAGTATTTCTTTTGGTTGACCTTATAGGTAGCTAGTGCCATTTTATACACCTTTAGGTATTCAGATAGATTCTTTTCAGCTCTTCCATTGCTCTTCTTTCTGACCTATGATGCCCACCCACTTCTGGTTGATTGGTTGCGCCAGGTGGTTACCACCAGAAGTTCAGCACTGTGAACTTTGGCCAGCCAAACAAAATCTCACTTCATACCCCCACCACCGTGATTGAAACCGCATCCTCTCTGACGCCTTCCCTTCACTGAAATGACTGGAAGTGGCGAGTTGCTGTGTGGTGGTGTAAAAGCCCTTTTAATCTTGTTTTCTGTTGTGTGAAATTTACCAAGAGAGTCATCACTGCTGTTAGTAGTAGCAAATATCTTGACTGATAAACTTTTAAACTGACTGATACTGATAAAGATTTAGAATATTCCCGATATTAAAAGAAAATGAAAAGAAAAACTTTGTATTGGTATTACATATTGACTATTGAAATGCCAAGCCAGTAGGTCATATCATACAGTTAATATTTCCCCACCAAGATAGTGCACAGATATTAAACTACTTTTTGAATTTCTTGTTCCAAGGTCGAATAGTGGTTGAATTGGTTCCACTTTGAGCATCTGCCCCTATCATGCTCAGAGAGTCAAAGATCTTTCACCATAAAAGATTGTCAGATGTTGTCAATGTTTTAAAGAATGTCGACAGTACTTCAAGACCAAAGCTAACAAAAATGAAAGCACATGATCTGTTTTCTGTTCTCCCAGCTATCACTCCTAAACATAGCTTTTTTCGTTGTTTTTACAAGGTACGAACCTCGCCTGCTGAATCCTTTGAAGAGTGAGAGTTGAGGAGACAAAGGAAGCAGTAGATCCACTGCTGTTAATGGGCAAATGGTTCACATTTAGGCTAGCATCATGATATGGAGAACACATGTGGCCGTTATCCTGCTGTGTCAGAGCACTGCTTTGTGAGGGAGATATGATCAAACACCACTTGAGACTGTGGTATAGGTCTACACTGATGAGCCGGCCCCTCCAACAGCTGCATGAAACAGATTACTGCCCCAGCCTTCTATATAGTGATTTTCTACTTATATGGGTAGCTGATAGCAGGACATGCTACATTCTTATGTTTAGTTGAAGTAATGTATTTAGGATGGGCCTGAAGTCTCAAATTGTTTGCGAAGTGTGCAACTAATAAAAGCTGATGAAGCTTGGAACGGCCTTGAATGCACTAGATGAGAAATCTATCTGTAGCACATTTAAACCACTGCAAAAAAAGGAATAATATTTGATTGTTCACTTGCCAGGAGATTTTGAACTGTGGACGCTTCAGTGTCACATATCAAAGCCATGTAGCAGGTCTAGTATTACAGCAGCTAACTGTTGCATTTTCGTGCCATGAGCTTCTGTTTTATCTGACTACTGATTTTTTTTTCCCTTTCTCGTGATCAAAACCATTGCATGTCAACAAAGCTTGTTATGCAATTGTATACGATACAGACTAAATATGGTAATATGAAAAAAAACACCATTGTTGACTGCCTGGACGGTATCTCAAAGCATCAACCATAAGACTGGTATTTTAAGTGCCATAATGCTGTCAGCATCCATCCACAGCTAGGACATTATGTGGATTTATGCATGAGAACAATCTGAAAAATAGACAACAAGTCGCATATGTCAGGATCTGACCACACACGCCCAATTTTAAATCTCTGTATTGTTTTTTTGTCAACACATTGTAGTTAAGTGGCTATAAAACCTAATCAGTTTTCTGCCCTGTGTGTGTAGAAGGGCTTGTATTTAAATCAAAGAACAGATTTTCTCCCCTCCAAGCACTTGTTGACTTAGTAGTGTTGTAGTTACTGCTAATCGCTGTGGGTGTAGGTCTAAAATAATATGTGTATATAGCAACTGTCAAAACATATTCTGCTTTTGAAACACTAACTCATCATTAGCTTCAGGGTTCCAGTGCTAATAGTCTTTTTTTTCATCTTAGGGGCAGTATCTAATGGTTCCTGGGCTTGGCACTGTTGTCAGAGCTCAGTGCTCTGTGAGCAAATAATTTCTTCCCATCAGTGTTTACCACCACAAAGCTAAACACTTAGCAGGCTGTGGTATAAACAAAACAACCCCAGCAGGAGTGATATTTAGGGGGGGAAACAACAGAGGGAGAGGGAGGTTTGTGTCTTCCCTTTTCCAAATGTCTGCTTAATGTTTCATTTTCTCCCCCTCTCTTTCCTTTTTGTCTCTCTTTTTCATTCATTCATGTTTGGCATTATTATTACAGGGAGGGGACCAGACGGCCACTGTGCTCACCCTGTGCGCCATGATGGACTTTAATTTGATGCAGGAGACGTGCCAACTGGCCATCCGGGATGTAGGTGGCCTTGAAGTCCTCATTAACTTGCTGGATACAGATGAAGTCAAATGCAAAGTGAGTAGCTGTGCCAAAGCTGGACCTGGATGGCCTGCAGGCATAAACAGAGCCGGCCGTGTGTGCCAGCCTGTGTTTTAGTTACAGAAACACTAGTGCTGGGTAGAAAGCGTGCCTTTAAAGACACAGGGTAGCAATTATTCTCCAGTGGGCCTAATGACGTGTGGGTGCTTTCTAACCCGATTTTATTACAGCTTTTTGTCCTCTCTATTTTTAGTAGAAATGCGGGTGAATGTTTGGCTACTAGGTATCGCTGTATGTACTCTTACTACAGATGGAGGCCTCATGTTGGCACACACACAGTTTCTTTTCCATAGAACAAATCTATCATTTTTAGAATATTTTACTGTGTGTGTGTTTTTAGATTGGATCTCTGAAAATCCTGCGAAAGATCAGTCACAATGTGCAAATCCGTCGAGCCATTGTCGACATGGGAGGTCTGCAGAGTATCGTGAAGATTCTGGACTCACCAGTCAAGGACCTCAAGGCCTTAGCTGCTGAGACCGTTGCTAATGTGGCCAGGTTCCGCAGAGCAAGGAGAACCGTCAGGCAATATGGCGGTATCAAAAAACTGGTGAGTATGAAAAATGGAATGAAAGTCTCCTTAAAGTGCAGTAGAAAAGAAAACTGCAGACCAGAACCTGATCTTTTTGTATTTGTGTTAATGGTGGCAGATTTTCCATTAAAACACTTGACTCCGTCAGCTAGTTTGTGATTTAGTACAAACATTTTGATTTAGTACAAACTTTTTGTACTAAACTACAGGCACGTTGGAACCCTTATAAAAACAGGATGCTGTCTTATTCCAATGTGATCCACATATTACCATTACTATTTAGTTTCAAGTGTAAAACACATATCCAGACATTCCTGAACTACGTTTTGATGCACAGCACATAAATCACCCATTTATGTCCTTTTCACACTGTATGCAATTGCCAGATCAAGGAATCAAGGGATAGAGGACATTCATTACATACATGAAGGTTTGCAGTTCTTTCATTCTACACATATAGAAATGCTAATTAAATTCATAGAATAACACAGAAAATAAAACCAATATATAATTATTATTAACCAATATATACAGTTAATTATATACATACATGTATACACACAGGAATAAAAAAGGATAGTGGCCCATCCATCCTTTTTCACCCAGTTTTTGAAAACAGCAGTGGGTGCTGGGGTAAAAACAGATAGAATGTCCCCGACATCCTCTGACCTGCATTCATGTTTGTTGACAGAGGGACCTGTGATTAAAGCCTCCGTGCCTTGTATATTTTCCTCAGCCCCAAATCGGATGTTCTCATGTGCAAGTCACTCACGGAGGCAGATTAATTTCACGCTATGCTATAAGACCACCTTTGAACTGTGCTGTGTGTAATAGCTTTGCCTGCTCTGTCTCACTGGCCAGGAACTATGGATTATAACACTGAATGATGGCCATAAACCGTCACACTGGGCTTTTCAGACCTAACATCAACATCTATTCTGACAGTTTTCCACTCCTAGCATCTCTGGCTTTTTCATCCTTGCAGACCCAGTGGTAATAGAATTTTAATTACACCCTTAATCACAGCCAGCAACTTGCTATTCCCATCTGGAACCGTCCATTATCACTCCAATCCTGCAAGCAAACTTTTCAGGGTCCTTCAATTTATGCGTGTGTGGAGGTTTCTTGCTTAGACACGTGTGGCCTTGTCTGCTTGTTTGCACACATTTTCATGTTCTGTTTATCCACACTTAAGTCTGGGTCCCTTGTCTCTCCTCTCAGGTGAAGCTGCTGGACTGTGTCCCTAATTTAGCCAGCCTGACTGCAAACCAGGCGAAGGATGTAGAGGTGGCTCGCTGTGGCGCTCTGGCACTGTGGAGCTGCAGCAAGAGTACCAAGAACAAGGGGGCCATCCGTAAGGCCGGGGGTGTCCCTTTGCTGGGACGCCTGCTCAAGTCTCCACATGAGAACATGCTTATTCCAGTGGTGGGCACCCTGCAGGAGTGTGCCTCAGAGGTGAATGGGGAACCACATACTGGATATTGTACTTAATGTGGATGCACACACAAGCTATCTGTTTGATAAAACCTACAAGTCTGATTCTATAAGACATGAAAATGACAAAACAAATATATACTGTAAATAATGTTGATGAGTTTATCTTTATAGGATGAGGCTGGTGATATTCCAATTTTTGAAAGACCAAAACCAACAATGAATTGATCTTATTTACAAGTAATGTTTATATCCAATGGTATATCTATGTCTTTATAATAAAAATTTACAAAATTATAAAACATTTAAGGGTACAAAATAAATATCAAAGTATGAAACCATATAACTGATGAGAAATATAGTACCCAAACATTTGTGACATAACTTTAGATCAGTTCATGTTGTTCATGTGGTCTGTTAATTCACTGCAGGAGAGCTACAGGATTGCCATTCAGACTGAGGGCATGATCAAGGATTTGGTCAAAAACCTAAGCAGTGACAACGATGAGCTACAAATGCATTGTGCCAGTGCAATCTTCAAGGTACCTGTTCTCCACACGTCTGTCCCTGTCTTACGCATTATCTATAGAAAAAGATGAAAACAGAATTGCAAAAAAAATGAGTGAAATAGTTTTTCTGAAGACTTCTTTGTCTCCTAATTCAACCCAGCCTGTAGAGGAATTAATGTAGATCACGACCCTCTCTTTTTTCCTTCCAGTGTGCGCAAGACAAACAAACCCGCGACCTGGTGCGTGAGTACAAAGGCCTGCAGCCCCTGGTTTCACTGCTGAGCAAGGCGAACAACAAGCAGCTCCTGGCCGCTGCCACCGGGGCCATCTGGAAGTGTTCCATCAGTATGGAGAATGTGGCTAAGTATGCCGGGACTCACCTTATTACCTCAGCACACATGACCTCACACACGCATTTACAGGCACACAAACTTAACATAGCTGAAATACAGAAACGCATTGTAGCCATATTTTGGGGTTTATGACTATGTGTGGGTAATTAGTGGTAACAGATTAATATGACTTTGACGAATCACTCAGTATGCAAAAGGGCTGCAATCTAATGAGCCTCATTGTAAAAGGGGCCGACTAGCAATTAGGAATTTCACCCACATGTGCCCATAACTTGGAAAATATGTTTGCTAAGATGACGTGGTTAACAGCAGTCTTACAGTATGTGAATGCAGAACACCAGTGAGGGGTTCAACTGACTTGCGTGCATTATGGTCGTCATGCCATCATCACATATGTTACTTTTATGGGTGGGGGGGCTCTTATTCATTCATTACGAGCTGTGTCACTTTTTCCACTCACATGCTGTTGTCATATCTCCCTTTCCTTTACCATTGTTTCTAGGTTGAAGTGATTATTTTGCGTAAAATGTAAAGTTTTTGCACGGATTCTATTAGCTCTGATCTTTTATGTGAGTGTTTGCTGCTAGATTTCAGCCTTTTCCACCGTTAACAAAGGCTGAAGTCAGCGTGCTGATTTTATAGACTCCAGTGATGTGTTAGTCAAAGCCTTTTCGTATTGAACCAAACGTAGGCATACTGAAAGAATCAGCCTTCAGACGAGGTTTTCTAATGTCAGAAGACGCAGGCTGACAGAGCCTTTAATCATTTGTCATGTAAGGCAGGAGGTTTATTTAAGTGTCATTTAGCCTGGTTCCTACAGCAGTGACATTTCTGGATTGGTTTTTGACTTGTACTTCAGTGTCAAATGATTTTTAAGTCAGTAATTTTCCCTCTAAAATAAATAATGCCCAGAGACCGTGCCCTGGCAGCCCCATACATTTCCACTAGTGCGCCCTTGAAAGAATGATTTAGCTGTATTTATTTTCTTATTCAGTGCAAGGCCGGGGACATAATATATAACCCACATGCAGTAATTTAATACTTTGGTAACATATTAATCAATTCAAAGCCTATTCTCTCAAGCGTAGCCACGAAAACCGATAAGACATTGTCTTTTAATCGTTTTGTTGATAAAGAGTAGTTTTGGGCTTTTTGCTGAGGTGAGATGACGTGAAAATGCCTTTCTTCTGACTCAGAAATGCCGAATAGTTCAAATTGCAGTAGGGATTCTAAAAATAACACAAAAAAGGAGCAGTAGCACTCAGAAGGATCATTCTTCACTTCATATATCATAACTGACAGAATGATATCCTGCATTTAAAGTCTAAGTTAAGTCCTCCCAACTGGAACTGAGTGTCTGCTGCCACATCGAGTTAAGCGAGGATTCCTTTACAGGAGCCGAGGAATGACAATAACATTCTTTTAAGGCGAGATGGACAGATCAATGTCTATTCAACCCAAGTCATGAAAGAAAATGTTATTTATTTAAATCGATTTAAATGATATCATTAAATGATTAAAGATAGTGGCATGGTTATTACTCTATAGACAGACAGTTCTGTTTTCATAGTAGAAAATCAAGCTGGCTTCTTGATAATGTTCTATCAGAAAAAGTCTTAAAAAAACAACAAAATTGGCGCCGATTGAGAACCCTTTTGACTGCACCTTGGCGCAATGATAAAACAAGTTAACTGCACTGGCCGTGAGTAATGTGGCAGCTTAATACACTTGCTGCCAGTACAGGCGCTCTGCCATATGTAATGACTTGTCACACTGTTGCTATGTAAAACACTTATATTACTACTGATAATAATAATAATAGAAATAATTATAATGATGCCATTAATCACATGTAAACCACATTTTGTGACACTTCATTTACAAACACTAAATTTAACATGTCACAAAGGTATCTTTGATTACCAAAGGGCCATAATATGAATAGTGCTAGAGCTCTCATTTCATGGTTTCTTTCCTGTGTATGTTATGTTTTATTTTGTTTTTTGGACGATGTGGGCAGCTGGGTGTGAGCGAAGGTGAAAATTGGCCACCTCTTCAGGAGGAAACCAGCATGATGCACAGCAAATGTTTTTAATGCGCACTTGAATGTGTAAGTGGATCTGTTTTTTCATACTCTCTCCGGCTTATTTGAATCACTTAAAATGTCTAGGTCAGGCAAAAGCTTGGAGTGAAGTGACCGAGCCATTACTGTCAAAAAGGAAAGGCTGCTAATGGTAACAGGGTTTTAGGGGCATGCGCTCATTTCAGAATCAATCACAGGCTGAGTGCTGTACCGAAATGAAAATCATTTTGGAATATGTTTTGCTACAGCAATAATGAGAGGCAGAGTGTGGACTTTTTTCACTTTTCTTTCATTAAGTACATAGTCAAATGAGAACAGACCTTGTTGCCCATTGCAAACAACATGATTTTTTTCTTTTATGTGACTGATGGTTTGCATGGTCTGGACAGTATAGAGGTCGGGGGACCTCCACTCAAGACAAGTAGCTGCATATGTTAGCCATTTTCCTGATTAATGATGCATCAAAATGAGACATGATTGATGACGTGAAATATAATTACCTTCATAACTTAAGTGTGTTTGTTTAAAGACCACATAAGCCGATGTTTTTCGTAGGACTTCCAATATTACAGAGAGGGCTCTACTTAGGTTAAGCGAATGTGTGCTAGAAAAATGCCTTTGTAAAAGTCCTGCTTGGAAACCCTGGAACATGTTTTTTCTTTTTCAGATTTATGGATGCATTGATATGTGGCCCCTTGAGCCTGTATGCTGAGGTGTTATGGACACACAAAAATGCTGTAAAAAAGCCTTAACAAAAGAGTGAGGGAATAACTTTGCAATGGAAAGTCATGACTGCCAAGTCTCGGACTGTATTTGCCAGTGCAGTAATGTTTGGGGTCAAGATTGTGGGGTTTGCTTCCAATTACTGACTACCCCTCCATCTTACCTCTGTTCCAGCCCTATGATGAGCACACCATAATTGCTCCTCCAAATGATACTTCTCCTTGCCTCACAAAAGTGCTGTGCTCACCCAAGTTATTCACTGCTCTGCTGCTTCCTTTCAAATGAAACAGATCAGTGTGTCTGTTAAATTTCAGGTTGAACAAGCAACTTTCTCTCTCTCTTCATGGTCAATGCTAAGCATCTCTGGGTCCCTGAAATGTCTTACTTTCATTCTAGCCTTCCTAAAAACCCTATTTAGCATAAAAGGCTGCATTTAGGTTTTCTGCACTTACTTGAATGTGTGACTAGTGTAGAAGGATGAGAAAAGGGAAAAGGCAGGCAATCAATCATAAAAATCTACTGCACAGAAGCCCCACTGTGGTTCTTGTGTCTTCTGACAGGCTTTAATAAGCTTCCCATTGCGCGGAGCCTTGTGTTTGCAGTAGAAGCTGCTTCAGGCAGTAGCAGTGTAATGCTACTCTTGCCATCACGTAATTACTTCAGCTGGGATTGGCTTAACAAAAATAGGCACGACTTACCATTCATTTATCAAAAGTTATGTCTGTGATTACAAGATAATTCTACTGTAGTCGACTGCAGATGACACTTCAGCGATGGGTATTGGAAAACCATTGTTTTTCTTTATGGTAAATTTCACTGAAGTTAACTTTGGCAGCTTCTCTGTTCATTAGCAGTGTTTTCACTTGCAAGAATAGGCTGTGTGTCAGTGGACCCTGACCAAAACCAAATGACCTTGGCCATCTACAATAGCTTACGGACCATGATGCCAGTAACCGTAACTGTGAATAAAAACAGTCGTAGAACTTAACTGTACATCAGAGGTTTGTTGAGGTTTTTTGTGACCGCATTATATCCCTTTTAAATGTTTACTATAGTTTACCACTCTATAGCATTGGCAAACAAGGCAAAATCACAGCAAAAGAGGGAGGGAGAGTTTCCAAGCCACAGCAAAGCTTTGGTTATGCAAAGTACGTACAAGGGACAACTGTGAGCAGCCGTGGGAAAACTGCCTGCTGGGTTACAGTAAGAGATCTATGCCCATGTGGCTGCGTGCACTGTAGCTGCTACCTGTCACTTAGACAACTAGTCACGCTAGTGGTGTGGCTCTAGGGATGGCAATGTTGTCGGCCTGTCAGGCTAACTGAAATATCTCAACAGCTTTTGGATGGATTGCCATAAAGGGTTTTAGAGACATTTAGGCCTGGGACGATATGAAAATTTCATGTCACGGTAATTCTGGCCAAAATAATTGCAATTCACGATATTATTGAGATAATCATCAAACACATACTGGAATAACTTTACATTTTGTTAAGAAAACAAATATTTTTTTCCAGGGATACAATGGACAAGCCGAGCCTTCAGCCAAGGTGACGATTCAAAAATAAAAAAGAAAGTTAAGACTGTAGGCTAGCAAGCTGGAGAACATTTTCAAGTCACTGGTGAGGATATCCATGATTATCCAGATTATGCAAATTCACCACAATATACTTATCTGAGCAGTTTTTATTGCTATACGTTGTATATCGTCCTATCCCTACAGGCATTCATGGTCCCCAGATAATGACTCATAATAAACATCACAATGAGTTTGATGATCCCCTGACTTTCCGTCTATCACCACGGTCAAAGTTTACACTAAGTTTGGTACAGACATTCATGGTTCTCAGGTGATGTATCATAAAAATATTTGTGATCTCCCAACTCTTCATATGGCGCCACAATGAGGTTGACATTTTGTGGATTTGAATGAAATGTCTCCACAACTATTGGTTGGATTGCCATGAAATTTGGAACATTTGTGTTCATGTCCCCTTCAGGATGAATTAAATAATAATAAATAAATAAATCTTAACTTTTTCTCTTGCACCATCATCAGGTCAAGTTTATGACCAAACACCTGCCAAACTAATGACATTCTTCGTGCTGCTAACACGTTAAACTAAGATGCGTTTAGCTCAAAGCACCACTATGTCTAAGCACAGCCCAAGTTTGAACCTATCGTGACGTCACACATTGGTTTGTGGAGTACCGCTTTGAAGCCTTTGAGTTCGCCATTTTGGCCGTCAGCAGTTAAACAGAGCCTGCGGAGGCGGCATACTGCAAGCTGATCTGCGCTCATTGGCTGCTCAATTTTGAATCGTCCGTAGTGGGAAACAATTGTGGCTCACCTGGTCACATCTCGTATTATAGACAGTTATTATAAGAGTACACTAAAATATGTTTGTGAGACGTTGTTAAGTGAGAAATAGGCAACACAGTGACAGAATCTTGCTTCGTGTTTGATCACCACTGCCTAGTTTGACAGTCTGAGCTGAGTCTTGTGCGGTGCGAGAATGTGAGAATTCGGCTTATTTTTCCATGAGACTACATGGCATCAGTGTGTTATTGCAGCCAGTGGAGCGCCCCCTGATGGCACGTTCACATTGGCTTCACTTTACAGACCTGGAAGCTCTGTCCATTATACATGCTGTTAATGGTACTGCCTCTCTAACACACTAAACTAAGTGAATAAGTGAACTATGTGAACATGGTAACCATTACACCTGCTTGCAGCATGTTAGCACTGTCATTGTGAGCATGTTAGCATTTAGCTCAATGTAAAGCGAGTCGTTAATATGATGCCCGGCCCTCTTCCTCTCCTCCTCCCTTGAAAGGTTTCAGGAGTACAAAGCCCTGGAGACCCTGGTTCGCCTGCTGACGAATCAGCCTGAAGAAGTTCTGGTAAATGTAGTGGGAGCCCTTGGAGAATTTGCCCAGATACCTTCGAACAAGGCCACCATCCGCAAGTGTGGAGGCATCAAGTCGCTAGTTAACCTGCTCACGGGAACAAATCAGGCATGTTGAATTTTATTCTGCTGCATAAAGGGGTCATCTTTAAAACATGCTCCTGTATTGATTCATGTACTTTTTATTTATGTCATTTAACCAGGCGCTGCTTGTGAATGTGACCAAGGCAGTGGGCGCCTGTGCCACCGATAAGGATAACATGGCGTAAGTCTCCCTCTCTTCCAGGGCATCCAACCAGCTAACCTGGTCTTTGACATTTAGAGTACAGTTTACACAGAGCAAACAGCCCCATGTGAGGTGTCTTTTAAAATGTGATTTGGGCTTACTCACTGTCATTACTGAATTAGCTCCAAACACATATTCTTCGCCGTGTACTGATGTCATATGTTATGAGAAGGGAATGACACCAATCCCAGGATCCAAACACAGTATCATTAAACTGTCATGGGCTGATGCTTAAAGAAATCTATGTTCTTTTAATTTGTAATTATGCAGGTGCTTTTCCCTTTCATCCTCAGCTTAATGACAGATTTTAAAAGCTTTGTTTATTGTACCTGCTGTGATAAATATGGTTGTGGTTTAATTCCCAGTGCTTTACTATAACTTTGTGGTCACTGTCAGGACTTGAGCTGGTCAGACGAACATACCTAAAGCCTTATCCTGTCCAAGACTACATGGCTGGGAAAACACAGTGAACCACAGTCCAGAGCAGTCTTTTGTTCTGCGTTCATTTAACCTCACCCTCAATACTGCAGAATATTGTGGAGCTTCCATCTGTGCCTCGTTGCTTTTACAAGGCTGTTATAGACTACAAGACCCTTCTTAATTAGCACTGGACACAAATACAACTTAATGACCGACTTTACATTGTTATTTAGCTGTTAATGCTATCATATGAGGCTATTACATTTGTTTGGAGGAAAAAAACCAAGGGGTTCAATAAAAAGTGAAGCATGTCTGTCTAACTGTGGTAAACTTCACACAAGCGGAGAAGTGTTTTGCATTGGTTCATCGTGTTCTCCATGTTTTCTCACGGTGTGTATATTTAGGCCAGACTTTGTAATTTTTCAGCCTTCACACATAGCTGTAAACAGAAAGTTCTTATTTCAGCGGCCGCTTTTTGTATGTTTTGTGGCGGTGGCTTATTTTGAGACATGTATGTGTACAGTAGTTTGCTGAGCAATTAACATAACTCACATTTGATTGTTTCCTGCTCCAAACCAACACTGCTGGAGCTGTTTTTCAGCTTCCCCGTGATTAGATGGTGTTTGGCCAGCTAACAAATATGATGATGTATGCATGATACCACACAGTTAGCTACAACATTCTTGTCAGTTAACATGACTTTTTCTCAAAAAAAACCCAAACAACTTCTGTTGATCAGCGCAATCATTCTCTCATCATTCTGATTCAGGTCATCCATAACTACTGAAAGCCCAAAACAAACACCGATCACTTTCAAGTTTTCCATGAAATACTCATATGTTTGTTTTCATTCTCAACCAGTAGGCAGTGTGTGGTTAATGACATAGCACTTCCTCCAATGAATCCTGTGTAGCTACAAGAGTGAACACACGTTGTTTAATGCCTCCAGGGTTTGTGGTCTCCTCCTCTAATCCATCACTGTCAGCTGCAACTTCATTGCTAATCTGTTTCATACCTGCTTCATAGGAAGACGGAGCTGTTTTGGCGGATGATATGACGCTTCACTTTTGTTTTTGGTCCGGATTTAAGAGGCCCCGCAGACTGGGATCTGATGTTATGATCCCTCTAGACTGATTTATGTGCAAACGGAAGACAGATGGTGCAGGGGACGTCCCTGATGAGTGTTCGCTCGTTGCCAGTCACGGAGATACTGTGATTAGGGAGTGTTTAAGTAATTATGACAGCATTCAATGTCGGCCTTGTTGGTGGAAGCACACATGGGGAACACGTTACATGTTATTTATACCAGACAACGGGTGCACTGTGGCGTAATTCTTCGGGTTCCCAGACCCTGAATGCAGTTTTGACTACAGTCATGTATACGACATGAAATACAGCTCATGCCTAAGTAAACTTCACTCAGACTCTATGAAATATAGAGCGACCTGTCTCTGGCTCTGTTTGATTTGGAAAGAGGTCCTCCTTTTGGCTCTGCTTGAAAAACAAGCCACCAACATAAAGTGTAAGGTTGTCTCAGTTTCTATTTATAAATCCATGTATGAAGCACCATACACAGATGTATGCGAGTTAACCTCTGGCCCTAGCATTGCAGAGCTTTTCCGTTGAAAGCGATTTGATTGAGCAGACAGTGGGTGGGTTTCAGGCTTGGAGAGGAACTGAGCAAGACTGAAGGCGAGTTGTGATGAAAAGCCAATGTTGAAATCGATAGATGCTTTGATCCTACTTGGCTATAGTTGTGTTTAGCCTGCGGCTGGCCAGGCCGCCACAGCCAGAGAAACAAACATGATCAGTTACACTCTTAAATCTTTCAAGCAGAAAATTATGCTTAATGAAAGATCTGATTGAAATCACAACACTTTTTTCAGTCTAACTTATTATTTCCTTGTTCATTCCTTTTTTTTTTTTTTTTCTTACGCTACTTTTCTGTCTCTCTCTCCCAACAGAATCATTGACCAGCTTGATGGAGTCCGCCTGGTGTGGTCCTTACTGAAAAACCCCAGTGCAGATGTTCAGTCCAGTGCTGCATGGGCCCTTTGTCCATGCATTCAGAATGCAAAGGTAGAGTACAGTGAAGTACATTTGTCTTCTGCCTCAGCCCTCAAACTGTGCGAGTGAAGTACACCAAAGGCACACAGATAGCCTCTAAATCAAAGAGGTCTGCAAAGTCTGTGTCGTTTTCAGAAAACTGTTCACTGTTCACAAAACAGCGGCCTGCTTATATCACCATGCTCGTCTCCTAAGCTCTCCCTCCAACCTACTGCTGGGAGGTTAGCAGGGGCAGAGTTGTGTCAGAGGAGGCTTACATGGACCTCAGGCTAATATGAAGCAGAGAAGCTTCTTTGGCACACTGGGATTTGTGAATTGGGACGCAGGCAGGGAGAAAGACTGAGTAATATCCTGTGGCATGGCCTCTGATTTCCCAGCTGAAAATCTTCCCTCAACATGCTACTAGTTACAGAAGCACACCATCCATGCATAGGGTACCAAAGATTTTCTGTGAACAGACTTCTCTAAGTAAAAGGCTGCACACATGGCTTGCAAAAGACCCCATAACATGGCCATGAATATTACTTATATCATTTTAAATATAAATGTGAATAGAATAAAATTAAAAGTTTGGAGATAGATCTTCTTTAATGAACCAATTTTACACATCAAAGTCAGTTTATAGATGTTGGGGAGTACTCCTGCATATGAAAAATAATGTATATGTAAGTCTTCAGTGTCTCCATGGAGCTGTGTAAAGTCTGATGAAATAGCCCTGAGTCAGCATTAGCTTACCAGACATCTGTAGTGCACTCTTCATCTCTGCTTAAGGTTAGCGGCTCAGGCAACATATGCCACTACTAGCATAATACACTTGAATCTCTGACCGAACCGTTGGTGGTTGAGTTGCATTGTGGGTAATGTAGGTGGCAGGTTTTGTCAAGGAAGGAGAAACTGGAATGGAATAAAATCTATTTTGATACAGTTTTAAAAACCGTCATGTGCAATGCTAATGCTACTACTCTTATGAGCTCCTTGAGGCCATTGTCACTGGCCTTTAGCATACGTGTTTCACAGCAGTGTTGTCAGTCAACTCTAATTTCAGTTACACATCAGCAGGGCTTTGATCCCAGAACTTGTATCATTTCTAGCTACAAACGTAATGTTGCTCTATTAGATTATCGCTGTGATTAAGGCAAACAGCTTGTCAGTGGGAGAATCTGGTTAAGCTTAAACAGATATATTGGGCCCAGGCAGGTGTCTTGGGGGTGAGGCCCTTTTTTTTTTTTTTTTTGCTGACTGGAATTTCTCCGGCCCACGAGTGTAGCGAAAATGATGCATGGCAACCATATGGAGGGAGAAGGGGGACTGCGGACCCACTATTGAGCGCTAACAAAGTTTGACAATGTTTGTCTGGACGTCAGTTTGCCAATTTTGAGGGAAATTCATGAACATGCTTTTTGGGTGATTTTTCTGGGACAGGGGCAATGACAAGAGCTAAATAGTGCTCTTTGCCCATCCAGTTGAGGAACCTGATACAGCTGCTTCGGTGCAGTCGTTATTTAGATAAAAACCCCATGTGGTTTGAGTTAGCAGTTCCATAGCAGATTTATGAGAGAGCTGTGGTACAAATGCATCTGCTGGATGCTCCATACAGTACTGCTGCCCCTCACAGACAGACACTGTGCTCTATGCCCACAGGTCCACAACTTAAACTCACTTAGTACCATACCGGTACTGTAAAGACTTAAGTAGTGAATCATTCAATTATTTTTGTTCTCCAATCAAGGAAGTAGAACCCTCCCAGTCGCACGTAATGGGGTGTATCATTAATTTGCCTGGATGCAGAGGCACATTTAAATGCTTGATTTATTTTTCCTTGACATAGTAGCCATGTATGGTATAGATGCCTGATTACTCCAGAGAAGGGGTCAGGGAACGCTTCTGCCATTCTGAGCTTGGCTTGCTCTCCTCAGCTTGAGATCACGCACAGCGGATAATGTGTTTTCTATTTCATTTCATCCTGGGTAAGAGGAGGGGAGAGAGTGAGAGAGAGGATAGCGAGAAAAGCCTTTCCGTGTGCAGCCTCATAATGTTGCGGTTTTCAGATCTGGGGGCCCGTCCAGGCCATGAAAGAGATTCTGGCTAGTCTACCGCAGCTGGTGGCTTGAGAGAGCTTCCTCTGTCGCAGGGACTCCCGGCCAGCCGTCATCAGTATTCCTGAGGAAGGGCTTCCTGTGTGTCGGGGGGTCAGCTCCTGGCCCCGGCAAACCCCCTCCCTACCCTGCACTGCACACATGGCTCATCCTCTGGCACGGCATCACAGGGTCCATACACAGCACCCTGGCCTGATCTCAGCTGTGAGCTCTCTGTCAGAGAGGGAAACACAACAGTACACCCAGCTCTCCCAGCTGTACACTAAAACTGCAAATCAGCTACTGCTGAATTTGATGAAATACCTTAATGTATTGAACTATACAGTTCACATAATACATTCTGTGATTACAGAACCATGCCATACATCAGCTCTGGACATGTAGATTGATGTTGAAATGGACTCAAATTAAGCGTGCTTTGTGATTTGCAGTCATCCATAATTGTATGCTTTTGGGGGAATTTCTGTTCTATTTTCAAAGCACTGAACATTACAGACTCGGCCACCTTGATGTGTCCCTCCGTGGCTGGCGATACGGTGAGTTGTGATTTTAAACAGCGGCCTGAAGTGCCAAGCCATACTGAAGCCAGCGTCTCTGCCAACTCTTCCGCTGTGGTTCTCGCAGTGCTCCCTACCAGCCTGTTGGTTTGGTAGGCATTGCCCCATAAGTGGCTGAGAGTCCTGTGGTACCAGCTGGTGCCATGAACTCAAACCATGAAGCCTTGAGTCTACACTGTGTGTTAGTCTGGGGCTAAAGTTTTGAATGCCACTTCTAAGCTCTAAATTCTATGTGTCATCTTCATTATGACAAGTTAGAGTGAGAGCACGAGAGGTTGACAAAGATGTCAAACTTATTGGTTGTTCCACAACACAGCTTGACTGTAGGGTGTTGTTATTTTTAATAGCATCCGTTATACACAGACAAAGATAGTTCTACTGGTTGCTTTGCACTGATGGGACTTTGATTGTTGCCTGGGTTGATGAAAATACTTTGTATGTACTTATTTAGTGTCCTTTGTTTTGTTTGTCTTGCTTAAAGGCCCCTGGCCCCCTCTTCTCTTTCTTCAGTCATTACACTACCTCCCTCTCCATCATTCCCCTTGTTCCTTTTGACAGAGCACCAGCTAATAACAGATACTTTGACTATAGGATGCAGGGGAAATGGTGCGCTCCCTCGTCGGTGGATTGGAACTGATTGTTAATTTGCTGAAGTCAACAAACAACGAGGTGCTGGCAAGCATTTGCGCCGCCATTGCCAAAATAGCCAAAGACAAGGAGAATCTGGCAGTCCTAACTGATCACGGGGTTGTCCCATTGCTGGCCAAGTTGACTAACACAGTAAGTACACCTCACTGCTGGAGACAAACAACAAGGTTTTACTATTCAACAGCACTGCCCTTACTGTCAACATACAACAAACTTGTAACAAACAGTGTTTTTTAGTTGGCCTTTCCTACTCAGTGCAGCATAAATCCAGCTAATGAGCAGAACTTTTGCAGTCTTTTGCAGAACCTTTACATTGTAAGGACTTGTCTCTGGGGACTAATAGCATCCTGTTCTCCTCTCCACAGACTGACGACAGGCTCCGTCGCCACCTGGCTGAGGCCATCGGCCACTGCTGCATCTGGGGCAGCAACAGGGCGTCCTTTGGTGATGCTGGGGCCGTGGCCCCCCTGGTGCGCTACCTCAAGTCAAAAGACAAGGCAGTCCACCAGAGCACAGCTATGGCCCTGTACCAGCTGTCCAAGGACCCCAACAATTGCATCACCATGCACGGGAAAGGAGTGGTCAAGGTCAGTTTCAGTGCTGCTGAAGCTGGATTTCTGACTCCTAACTTCTGCATTTTGTAGATAATTCACAGAGTAGTTATTTCTCTACTTTATTTGGTGCTTTTGAGACTAAATCTGGAATAATTACATTGAGGAAAATGTGCTTTGGCCTCCCACCACCCTTGTTTTAGCGATGTGTGAAAAACACTGAGTAATAAACTTTGAAAAGCTGCGACTATTTTCAGACCCTTTGACCGATGGAGCAGAAACAAAGTGGGTTTTATTCGACGGCGGAAACATGACTCCACTTTCTAGCCGTCATGGGAATTCAGAAAAGCAAACAGCTCAGTGTGTGCGCAGTGCCATTTCTCCGGTAGACCCTAGATGCCATTACAGCACAAGTCAAAGGGCTGTAGCTGGGGGTAACTGTTGCTAAGGGCTGTTCCTGGACATCAGGGTAGAATGCAGCAGCGATATGGTTCAGGCCAAAGAGTGGGGTCAGAGCTGTTCAAGGCGAAAAGAGAACAATGTTTTTTTATGGTCCACTTTTTGTTTTCTCGACTCTGTAAAGCTACATCCGCCAGCCTTCTTCATCATTGCAGTTGTGTAGCACTCTTCCAAAAAGAAACAAGCATTGTTTTGTCTAACATTTGAGCCTGTCGGGCTGTTTCCATGCTCAGCTCTCAGAGTCTGTTTATGTTTGTCTCTGACAGTGATGTAGAGATTTTTTGTTGAGATTACGCTGTAATTGATGTCTTGTCAGACATGATCATGTACCCATATTTCAGCATTTTGGGAAAACATTGCTATCTCATTCTCTAATTTAATCATGTTTCACATAGAGAGACTTTCACATGAGAAATCTTTTTGTGGCCGCAGTGAGTTTAAATCCCTTTTCCCCCCCTAAATAACAACTGCGATATAAATTATGAAGTGGTTATGCCATTGCAGCCAGATATTTTTTTCCCATGTTCATTAAATGGTGTACTTTAGCTTGATCTGCTGCTACAGTGTATGTGGTTCAACACCAGCCATAATTGGTAGCTGGACAGAACATTGGGTGTTCCGAAAGAGTTATGTCCAATTTGCAAAAGTCGTTAAGCTGAATGCTTTTTGTAGTTTGAGCCACGACAAAAACTGGACAAGCCCTCTTTGGTCTCAGTGTGTGTGTCTATATTTGAAATTCTGCTGTGTGTGTATGGGCGTGAGTGTGTGTGCAAATGCAAGACATACCACCCTTTTTAATCTGTCTCTGTGTTTGCCCTTATTAATGTACCAGTTAAGGGTTGCAACACTACTCCATAATGTATTTTTGGACTTTTAAAGAGCTTAATTACCAAAGGCCACGGAACTGCACCAGCGTTGCGTTTGTTCTTAATCTCAGACATGGAAATGCAACACAGGCAGCCTCATTGTTCGGTCTGGCCTCAGTTCTCAGCCAGTCTGGGAGGGAGGCTGATACTTACCTGCCTGACCCCGAAGGAAACATTACAGCGTTGTCAATCTCCTGCATTCACTGTGCATTGTAACGCTCTGCTTTATGATATACAGGCAGCTGGTAGAGAGAACATGTTAAAACAATATCTCCAATACTCCTGAATGGATCAGACACGGTGTATCGAGGATTGATACGAGGCCCTGCGTCTAATTTACGGCGCGGTGTAAAATTCTGGACGGCAAGACCTATTATTGCAACCGTATTTCAAAAAGCTTTTCTGTGCCGCTGAGAAGCTCTCAAAACATGTTAACCCACGTGTAGTATACGATTTCGAACGAGCTGATGTCTCTCTCGCTCCAAAGTTGGTTTAGAAAGTAACTTTCCTCTCTCGCACACTTAATGGTGTATGGCCCAGTCCCTTAAGATTCACAGGGGAAATTAAGCATTGAAAAGAAAGTATTTCACACTGGAAAACACATTAGTGACCCGTCTTAGTGACCCTTCCATTGCTTTCAGATTTGGTCCAGAGTCAATGAAATGATTTAGTATAAATACTATGAGTATTAAACATATTTAAATAAAACACAAGTTCTTTTGTTGCAAACACTCTCCGTCAACATATTTTCCCTGGAATCTGCTGGCCTCTCAGATATAACCTTGTTCGGGAAAAAAAGGGATTCAGGTGCTCGCTCTCACAGGAAATACATACCAGGGAAAAGAGAATTTTAGCCTGAGAGATGAATCGTTCTCCCCGTTTGATTTGACACCCACTCTTAGTATCTCGCAGTTTTATACGGATGTGCTTCGTTTTGTGTCATGTACAAAATCAACATACCTTTCCTCCTGCACTTTACATTGCTTCCAAAAGCACTGGGGATTGTTTGCTGAAACCGTAAATCCTTGTAGACAGCTTCAGCCAGCTATTTGTATTAAAGAGCCTCTTTCATAAGAAAAGCTTTGTGAAGTAAATTGATGAAAATTACAAAATGCGGATGGTAATTATTGGTAATTTTCAGCTGAAGGTATTCCAGAGCGGAGCTTTTGCCAGCTCCTGGTATGTATTTTAGGCTTTTACTAATCTAAATGAGAAAAACGTTTGCACTTTTGTTGCCATGAGCACACTTCTGCCCCGCCACGGTTCGTGTTTGTTTTCTTTTTTTTCTCTCTCCCTCTTACATGGCTTCAGGAGTGAAAGTGAGGGCTGTAGGGGGCAAAAATTACACCAAATGTGAGGGAAGGAATAAAAAGCAAGCAGACCATGCACAGGTTTACTTCTACAGTTTCCTGTTGGTTTGTGGGTAACATGACTTCAGGTTGTGGGTGTGGTGAGCAGATGATACAGGCGCCGTGTGCTGCCTGCTCTGTTATGACTACCATATTTCTAACATGGAGTGTCATGTTTTAGAGCCTCTCTCCCTCACGCCTGGACCAGAAATGCCGAGCAGTGTTCTTCAGGTTAAACGGGCCCAGGGTTCAGACTGAAACTTTCCCCTTCAAGTCATTGATTTGAAAGCTGCCCTCCCTCCTTTTTCCTCCTTTTTCCTCTTCCTCTTCAGAGACACAGAAAAAGCAGCTTAACAGTCTCTGGCTCACTGGAGGCAGCAGGGAATGTTGTTTACCTTGACTTCCCTCACCAACTTCCCCTCAACCCCAGCTAAACACTGCTGTCTGTTTGTGCTGTTTGCCTCCACAGTGGAGTCTAAAACATGGGAATGCTGGGATAGATGGGAGTGGGGGGGGGGGTTGATGAAGCCATAATGGCTGTCAGAGCTGGCGCAGGGGAATTTAAACCTGAACTCCTCCGGGCAGACGCGGTCCAACCGAGCGCACTTAACACCATGACACCTCCATGTGCGATAGGATGTGTGTGTCCACATGCAACAATATGTGCAGCCCTCCCAGACTGCACGCCCGCTCCTCCCCCCTCAGCTGGGGGGAGGTGGGGTGTTCCCCAGCTCCCTTCTTGGAGGTCAGGACTCGCTGGAGCTCTCTGAAGTGCAAAATAACCTCAAAAACTCATGATTTCAGGTTTCAAACGTGGTGCAAGTGTTCATGTTACCACAGTCAGGGAATATCTAACAAGTGGAGTATTATATTCCTCGAGATCCCAGCTGGGAGGGAAAGAGCGAGCTAGGGAAAAAGGCAGCAAAGAGAGACGCGCTTATCTTAGCCTAGCTGTGCACTTCGGGAGACCTTATTTGGCGACGTCTGAATAACATGCTATGAGGTTGGCAAAAACGCTGCCTCTGGCACTTCTCAGGCATCCTCTCTTTTCACAAAAGAGACTTGTTTAGTGAGCTGCATGTTTTCTGGAGCCTGTGGATGTAAGTTTGCTCTTGGAGGTGTTTTGGATGCTATTTAAAAATCATATAAAACCCGAGTGCAAATGTTTCACATATACTCCTTGACACTGGTGCATTGAGAGGAGGTGACATGTTGGACTGCTGTTTTTCCACAAAATCATGTGATTGTAATCAGGAGGAAGGATATTATTTTCTCAGTTTTGAACAGGACTTACTTACACTGTAGGTTCACAGCCCTTTTCGTGCGCACACACAAGCTGGCTCACCTCATCTTTCATCTGTTTTCCTTTCACTGTTTATCTTTGTGCTGAAAATCTCGGGAATGTCTTCTCTCTGCTGCTTTGGCTGTTTGCTAACCACACAAATGTGCAGAGTGGCGTTTTAAGTTTGCATGTAACACGGAGAGGGGTCCGGGGTCGACCTCAGCTCCGCTCTGACATGCATTATGAACACAATGATAACCTGAGGGGAAAACACTCTCCAATCCAAGCACTGATCAGCTGGAAAGAGATTAGGCAATGTAAACACACAAAACATAGCTGAAAATGATTATTCTATTTGAGAGTTTCATTTGTGTGAAACCGACAAAGGAATCCCATCACTTCCAGCCAAAAAAAAAACAGGATGGGAGAGTTTTGAATAAGAGGGAGACAAGGGGAGAGAAACTGAGAGTTAGTCAGAAGCTTTTAGAATCCTCCCACTGCCTTAAAGTGAATCTTGCTGGATGTAAGTTTTAAAGAGGCTTAGTTCTTGGATCATTTCCGTTGACGGTGACTGTCTTGATATTGTCCTCTGTGGCGCTCAGGATGAACAGGGATGTGACATTGCTGCGCTGAAACCAGGGAAACAATCCCGCATGGTGTTCAAACACCACTTGTAAGCCTGCTGCAGCATTATCTTTGTTAAAGAAATCTTTCTCTAAATCCCCTCTTCATTCAGTGGAGAGCAAGGTCTTGATATATGGGGCTTAAAAGTGCCTCAGACATCTCAGCAGTTACTGTATTTATCAAAGCGTCATTATGTTTAGGAGCAGGGAGTCCTTAAGTGCTTAGTTGAGGGATGTAATGTTGCCGTTGGTTCATTATGGATGTAAACAAGACGATCTGAAATAATTGCAAGTGTGGCTTAGGAAACCTCAGTGGCACACCATTGTGATTTTACCAAGGAGCACACATTGAACAAATTTAGATTCATCCATTGCACCAGAGTATTTATGCTTACATTTACTTGTACTTTGATTGAGCCTCACAGCTGCCCACAAACATAATGTGGGGATTTTGCTGCAGATAAAACAGGAAAAATAGCTCGCCCCTCCAACACACATGCCACTCAGTGGTATTCTTTCCTTTTTTTTTGCTCATATCTGCATAATACGCAACTCTTTGAACGTACGAAAATCTTTTAAATGTTCAGTTTTATGTAACCAAAAAATAAACTTCCAAAGCTAGAGATTTCTGGAGAGCGCAAAACCTTGTTCTGCAATAAGATCTAACGAGATCCATTACACAAGCCACTAATAGTCGGATATAATGTGACCTTTGGAGCGGCGGAAAGGCTGTCAAGTGGTGTGGTTCATGCTCAGGTTTTTAATGTCGAGCCTGCCCTGCATGACTTTCATCTGAACAAACTTACAGAAGCATGTGCGCTCGCAGCTGTAACCCGTTTGCTGAGGCATGGTTTGGAAGGGTAGAGTGGGGACACACACCAAATACACACACACACACATACACAGGGACATGTGCCAGTTCAGCCTGAGAATGTCACCGCACAGCCACCGTATATCTTTGCAGTATGCGATAGTGTGCAGTGATTTTTGCTCAACAGTGATTCTTTGGGGGGGTGTTCCTGCTGCCGGCTGTAACCTCTGTCCTTTGTGCTCCTGCAGCCCCTCATCCACATCATGGGCTCTGATGATGAGACGCTCCAGGAAGCTGCTGCTGGCTGTGTGCGCAACATCCGACTACTGGCTCTGGCTAATAGGAAGGCCCAGTTATTCTACTAACAGTCAATGATCGCAGCGCACCTGGAAATCCAATAGGGACTGTACAAAGATTATTGGGGTAGGGAGGGGGGCTTTGGACCCTCCACTTGCAACACCTTTCCCACTAACAGCTGACTCAACTCCAAACTCCAGTTTTAAGATTAATATGTGAACGGAACAATAATTTGTACATAGTCCAAATCACACTTTAGGAGAGGAATTAGCATTTGCCAAAATAATGCTAACCACAACAATGGTGCTATTGATTGAACAGTTATTAATGGGGCACAGGCAGCAGCTCTTTGGCTGGTTACGGGGTTCAGCAACATAGTATTTTTACTTCATTATTAAAACAGGTTGTGCTAAAATATTATTATTGGTTCACTTTGCATGAAAAGTTAATGTGTCAGTACTTAAAGTGAAGGCCGCTCTAGGCTAGTGAAAAAATGGTGCGCTCTTTAAAAAGAGAATGTGCACATAAAAGACTGTTTTGTAACTATTTTACAGTCAATTTAACCAGAAAATGGTAAAATAATATATATGTATAGCAAGAAAAAAGATACAAATAAATAATAACTCCCTTCTCCCCCAAACCCACCAGACTACCCTCCATTCAACAAAAAGAAAACATGTTACTTTCAGATCCCACCCCTAATAATTGTTATACAGTCCCTTACCAGTTCGAATGGGCTGCTTGTGACAGCACTGGTAAAAATGTACCTTTGCATCTGTCCTGTTTTACGCTAACCGCAGAGTTTGTTTCAAATGTGTTTAAAATTGTTTCAAATAAAATGAAAAAGTGTTACAAATATTAGTATCACAAGTGTTTCTAATGTGTTCCAACTACCTGAGATGGGTTTCAAATAAAATCTTTTATCTTGATTGATGAGCGTGTATTTATTTGTGCTCCTGCTTCCGCTCTAGTGGCAAACTTTTATCCCGAGCTCCGTGTCAGTTATCTCATCAGGAGATCATACAAACATTTTAGGAAGCTCTCTTCTCGCTCTCTGACTGTGATGATAAAAATAAATGCTTCTTTCTCATGTTTGATCTCGCTCCAAATACCCTGTACGTTGTTCAGCGTGAAACACTTCGAAGCTGTGTTCTCTGCAGTAAAATTCCTCAAGTAATCCACACAAGACCACAATATCTAAACAAGAGCCACATCTGCTTGGGTTGCTCAACCTCCTCTTATACTGTCTGTGTACTTCTGAATTTATATGAATATTTGCAACACATCCAAACTCACAGCCTGCAACGAGACATTTACACAAACAGAGTAACTTGCTGTTGGTTAAGTAGCACCAGTGTGGAATACAGGGAGTCTGCACAAATGTTCTGTATAAATACCACACAATAATATGAACACATAAATCCAGCACTGTTATCATAACTGGATAAGAAATAACAATTAGGAATACAATAGTGTGTCCTGTCTGCACCGCAGATATTATGTACAAGAGTGGATTTAAATTAGGATTTTCCACATTACTCACAATTTATTTACAGTAATTTTAGATTTTGTAGGGGCATTTATTGTAAATAATAAAATACATTTTGCAAACAAGCTCATTATTTTTCTCAGTAAAAACAAAAATGTTGTAGATATTTTGCCAGTCGGGGTCATCTCTGTACCAAAGCACTTGCATGGCATTTAGTCAGCACCAACTATAAAACAATCTAATGAAGGATTTTTGGGAAAATGCAGCAAATTGCTCTGCATTTCCCAAAAGCGGTTATTATTTTTTGTTGTTTTTGTTATTGAATATGTTTTTTAAAGGCTATTTCCCTAATTATAACCCTGTATTTTTCTGTACTGTACATATTTAAACACTACAACAGTAATGGTGTGCGAATGCAGCTCGTTGCAGCTGATATGGGCTCATCTGATCCTTTTGTCTTGTGTTCCTGTTTATTATAAACAGGCCATGTCAGGCTTGACAGCCTTTTGCACAGCAGATTTCAGTAAAAGATTGTTGGCCTCCACCACTGCTGCCCCTCTCACATGTCTGTCAGCCTCTCTTATCCCACTGTCCTGGTTCCAGTTAGCGCAGATGCTCAGCGCTCAACCGCAGAGGCTGCCACAAGATCTCATGGGACTTTCATCATTAATATCAGCCACGTGCTTAAATAGAAAATTAGCAAAAACATTGAAAATATGTGGTTGAAAATCTTCATCATGCTTTGATGTTTAAACGCTGCCAGCTGTTAGCGTGGGTCACTGGGAGAGCACGTAGATGAGTGAACTTATTACTCTGAAGAAGCAACTTCCTCCAAAAACACAACTTGGAGCTGAGAGAAGCCACTGACTCCAAAACAGCAAATAGATTCCCAATGATTAATGGTTCTTTAATTCCACGCAGCAAACTCTGCAACATGCCCAGTGTCAAAACTGATTCTGAAGAAATGCTTACAGGAACAGCATTTAGTCACTTAAACAAACAAAGGGGGAAACATATTGTTTGCTCTTTGTGCGGTTGCGAAGGCTGTCCTTTCCTTGTGCTGATTTCCTTCATGCTTTTATATTTAGCTCTCTAATTTCTCTTCATTTCAGCTCCTTTTCCTTTTAACTCTCATTTTACAGTTTAAAGGAACAGTTCAACAATTTGGGTAATAGCTTCTTTGCTTTATTTCCAAAAGTGAGATGAGAAGGTTGATATGAATCTCTCTTGTGTGAGTCATGTACCAAAAGCAGGGGGGGCAGCTAGCCTTGCCCTCTCCAAAGTGAAAATATGTCTATGAACAACACCTCTAAAGCTAACAAATTAGCGCACTGTATCTCGTTTGTTCATCTGCGCACGAACAGAAATCTAAAAAAATACAGTTTGTGCTTTCGGGGGAGTTATGTGTTACTATTTCTTGACAAAAAGCAGTTTCTCCATCCACAGTCCCTCTGTGCACTGGGGTGGGGCGACGCTAGCTGTTTTTTTGTTTGTTTTTGTTTTTTGTTTTTTAACCGCATCCTAACTGTAGCTACATACTTAAAGTCCAGGTGAAATGAAAACCCTTCAAGACTGCATCCTCAGTGATATTGTACCCATATTTAACAACATGTGCAAAGCAAACTTACAAAAAACAATTTCAACCAATAATATCATGACATTCAACATCAGTCAATCTTCAGCTTTTAACTCAGGAAAACAAAGAGGGTGTTAGCTTGTCTTTGTGTCGGTGGCACAAACAATAATAGCAGTTGAAAGGTTGTCTGTTTCCACTTTAACCAACTATGTATGTTGAAGAATCTATGAGATTTACAATTCCACCACTGTTTCAGTCTTTAAGGGTGAACGTTGGGTTTCTGCAGTAACCTGATTTTCCAAATGCAATGTAAACAAGAAACCCTGTTTCTGTGATCACAGTAAGAGTTTAGAGAAAATGTAGTAAACACCATGATTTATTTGCCATGATGCTCTTTGTATACATGGAATTGGCTTTCTAATGGGGTTCACAGGACAGCTCAAGATAATAGGAGAACAATGGATTCTTCCTATGCACATTGGCTTCTTATCTTCAGAACTTGATGTGCATTGATTTTCAGTATTGTAAAGAAACAGTGCTTTACTCTCCATTCTGAACCTGATGTTGAACCTTGCAGAGCACAGGGGAGAGGCTCAGAGGAAGTAGTAAGTTGGTTTCAGGAGCCTGGCCCTCTGGCCCATTGGTCATAAAGCCACAGTTGAGTGTATTAGTCGAGCCACAAACCCTCTGAGAAAAGAAACTGCCACTTTCTTTGGCTCGCCGTCCGGCACAGGGACATTATTCACGGGAAATTAGAGGTTATGCCTCCACGCCTCGGCAGAAGCAGCAATTACGTCCGGCCCTGGCTGTTTTGGTCACCATTCAAGATCTGATGCTTTTCATCGCTTCACGGAAGGGGATGGAAATAGTGGAGGGATATCCCTGATGTTGTTGCTCCTGTTTTGAGGGAAGATGTGGGCTTTGGCATCTGACACACCCCTGTATCTCAACGGTCTCACCAGTGGCTCGACCTTCACCCCGTCCAGACTCCAGCAGGGGTTTCCCATAGGTCAGCGTAATGGATGCAACCACACTCGAGGACTTTATTACATATTACACAGGGCTTGTGTGTGGAAATATCCTTTCTACAGTCGTGAAATGTCTCCGCATTTTGGGTGGACAGAGTAATAAATATATATCACATATTTTTATAGCCAGGCAGTGGTTCAGAGAGCGCGCTCTGTGTTGTGATACTAGCTCAATTGTTTTAAAATGGAACCACTCTTTTGAAGTTTTTTAAAGATCCCACATCTCCCCAGGCGTTCTGCAGCAATATTTCATAAAAGAAACTAGTGAACAGTAAAAGTTCTTTCCAAATATTAGAAGTGGCTTTCCGTTCCCTTCAGTGTCTGAGGACTATTTTTTAATATAAAATCACAAACTGTTGCACAGCAGCAGCAGCAGCAGCGTGGTTTGCTTGCGATGCTGCCATTAAAAACACGCACGTACACAACGATCCTCTCAGAGCTCCAAACAGAGAGCAGCACTCTGTGGTACCCGAGGACCGGGGGGTGAACACGGCCTCTCTTCTCAATCTGTAAATTAGCTTTTAAATCATTACAGCATGCTCACACCACCAGGTCTGTTGGAGCGAGCCTTGCGTGTCATGCTCGCCCACTGTTTGCTCAGCGGCCTGCCTCTCTGCATCCGTTTCCTCCCTTCAGTCACTCACAAAATCTCCCAATTCCGTGCTCCTCACAAGGTGCTGTCGTCAGATCCCGTTGCATTTTTCAGCGTTTTTTTAGGTCTTTTTTAAAGAGGCTTTCACTGCACTAATTAATCCTGACATTCCCTTCCATAAAGTGTAAATAACAAGCTGGTATGACAATAAATAAACAGAGAAATGAGTGGGCAAATACCACAGCAACTGGGTCCCATTTCAAGGCTGCAAAGTAATGTCTCCATAAAGGTCTCAGAAATATTAGTAACACCGACATTGGTCATGACAGCTGTGGCTTTTGGTCATGTACGTTAATTACAAGTGAACACTTCTAACTCCGAGCATTACACACTGCGTGCACAAAAAATAGCTTTTCTACACAAACTATTACGCAAAGAATAATTTGATTTGAGCAAACAAAAGTCCCTTCTGTGCTCAATACATGTATTTGCCTGTTTGCTGTTATCCACATAAGCACATAATAACCTCTCTCAGTCAGTGTTGAGAGAGCATGAGAGACGCCGAGTGAGTGTCCAAGGATCTGAGAGTGCTCAGTATAGGGAATTAGAGAGCAATTGAGAGTGAGAGTTTATTATTGAGTGCTTGTGTGAGCAACAGCAAACACGCAAAGGCATTTACTGAGCACAGAATAGATTTCAGCCGGCTTAAATCAAATTATTCTTTGCATAATAAAAAACTGAAAAAAAAATTCTCCACTGAATATAAAGTATGTGCTGGCAAACTTTTTCTTTTCTTTTTTTTGGTTTCCCAAAATGTGCCTCGCAATGGAGACAAAAATATAATTCCATACTGTAGGTAAAGTCTGCCATTAGTGGCATGATGAAGTGAATTGCACAAATGGGGACTCCGTTGTCCACACATGAAATGACGGACATAGTTATGTGAAGAATGTAAAAAGACAGCTTGTTTAAACCCTGGCTACTTTCCCACCTCATCACTCCTGGCCAATCGCTGCAATTTCTGGATTGTCTCTTCTGGAAAGTTATAAAAACTGTTGAAAACTCAACTGGGGCTTTCAGACATGTTTCTAAAGCCCTGCGGAGCCACAACCTGTGACACTGACTGGACTGTGGCTTTAGGTAATAGACTAAAGGAAACCCCAGCATTTAAAATGGTGAAATTTGGAAGTGAAATCTTCCTTCCAGTGGAAATGATCAGTAATTTGCTCACAGTAAAA